GTGAGTGAGTGAGTGAGAGTGTGTGTGTGTGTGGTGTGCATGCATTTCTTTGAATTGAGAGGCAGAGGGGTGACAGGTTGTTTGTTCTCCAGCTCATTGTAATTTGTTCGATACACACTAATTGCTCTAATTTGTCTGTCTTGTTTCTGTTTGCCTTTATGTGTTTGCATGGATGTGTGTGTGTGTGTGTGTTTGTCAATGGTTGTGGTTCGTGTGTTTGTTTTATGTACACAGTCTCTGGATGGCTTTGTGTTCGTGGTCAGTCAGGAGGGACGGTTCCTCTACATCTCAGAGACAGTTTCTATCTACCTGGGACTCTCACAGGTAAGACAGCCTCATCACTTGCACACACACACACACACACACACTAGAATAATCCTTTGTATACAAGTGCATCTGCACACATGTGCCTATCTTCTGCTTGTGCTTTCATATCCCGTCCCACGAGTGTGTGTGCGTGTGTGTTTGTGTGTGTGAATATCTTTGACTGCACTCTTCGCGCTCATCTCTGGAGTGCAACTCTCCCGGGGCCGATGCCGCTCTCTCTCTGCCTCTCTCCGCCGCCCTCCCTCGCTCTCCAGGTGCTCACCTCTGTTGATTGCCTGTGGCCTCTTGTACTGTGAATGTTAAGTCCTGCCATTTTGCCCAGATGCATAAATAATAACAGTAATTACTGGTCCAGCAATCAAAGTGTCGCCCCAGCGCACTGGGCCTGTCTGGGGGAACAAATCGATAGGCATCTTAAAAGCCACATTGATTGTAGGGAGGGGGAAAAACACCAAGGGGGATGGGAAGATAGATAGAGACAGCCGGGGAGAGAAAGAGAGTGGGAGGAAAGGAGGAGAGGTGTGATAAGAGAGAGATGTTTCCAAGTAAGAAGAATCGGTACAGCATGAGCGAGAGAAGTTAGTGCTACAATAACAAAACTAATTTAGTATTTTTTAAACACGGACATTTGCTGTAATTGGGGGTCGACTCTTGGCAGCGTCAAAGGCTAAGTGTTAACACTTTTACTCCCTTAGTATAATACTCTCATGCCATATGTACATTAAAAAAGCAGATGGTCACTGTAAACATTCCTTCATCTGTAATGCATAATAAGTAATAAATAATAATATAATAATACTTTATTTCTAGTAGCTCTGTCCTGACATGATCACAATGTAAGAAAGTGTTAGGAAACCTTTTTCTCCGCCAAGGCCTAACAGGGGCATTCAAGTTGCACCAAATTTCACACACTCACCTAAATATGCCTCTTTTTTCTCATCAAGATCCGTGAATTATTACTTGGGAAACGATCTCACAATGTTAAAGAAAGTGGCAGAAAAAAAAATGAATCTGCACCATAATTGAATGGTTTCTTCCCCGACACATAATGCATCATAGTAATCTGTTTGGTAGTTTTGGGATCATCTTGATGGACAGGCAGGAAAACATTACCTCCACTGTAGAGGAAAATATACTGTATATCACACTAACGTCTTTAATTCAAAGGAATTGCTGTTGTTTGTTCTTGCAGTGATGATGATAATGACTCTCGTGGCGGATTTAAGCCAGGACAACTAGCTCGAATATATTTTTACTTTTGGTCGAGTCGTGTGTTTTGCAAAGACATTCATTCCTCCCTCACATCACAATCTGCAGGTTTAGGTGGTATTTCGTATGTTTATTATTTGATCACACTCCAGAGAGAAAAGCTGGAGATTTCTTGTGGTGTGCATCAGTGTTATTTTGATATCTAGTTTCATATTTATCTGCTCAGTGACAGCAATGTGAGAGAATTTGACATTTAAAAATAATTTTAATCTATCTGGTTCTTTTAGCTTTGCAGCAGCAACATTCAGTGTTCCGAAATTTTGGCAATGAGCTCACCACAAAACTTGCCTGCATCATGCCGTGTCAAAGCTGCTTGTTGGGCGCACAAGCTCCGATGAAGAGCATCAACTCAACCGAACAGCATTTGTTCTTACAACTCAGTCACGTTAGCTGCATGGTTCCAGTTGTATAATGCTGGAGGTTTCATCACTTCAAGCACGTCTTGCAAAACCAGGCACGTCGACATAAAGTGCAACATTTTGCAGCTGCTTTTTTATCTTGAAAGTTTCCTTCAACCTGACCGTGACCTGACAGGCACACAGCCAGAAGTGACCACTCTGAAGGGCTTCATTAGACTTCGCTTGTGGAAAAAATAATAGCTGTCATGAGATTTTTTTTAATTATGAGTTGTTGTTTTTTTGGATATTCATGAATTATCTTGCAGAGTGTTCACAGGCCTGAAGGACAGAGAGGTTCCCCACCCCTGCCAGAGGAGACGGGGGAACTAAATACACAACTCATTTTGAGTTAAAAAAAATGAATCGACTGTGTACTGTATGTGTAGACTGTAATATGGGCAGTGCTTTCTTGCCAAGCGTGTCAGAGTGATTCCTCCTTGCAACAACAGTTTGGTTTGTTTCCAAGATGTGACACAGACAAGAACCAACTAGTGAAGTTAAATTGAAGCCTCATTATATTTTTTGTTGGATTCTTGTACAGAATAGATTTTGATCAGAAGTCCCCATAGATACTTTACATTTTGATCATGGATGGTACCAGTGCAATATCATATGTTATGATGAGTGCCATATGTCGCTGATGGAAATGGTGGAGAAACAGGATGTCAATTCTTGACGATGTTTGAATATAAAAATGGTGTCAATCATAATCCTATGGCCTTTGCATCATGAAAGCATCAAATGAGGGACTATCTGTAGTTCTGTAGAGTCCCTCACACTTGATGAATTAATGTCAAGACTCACCGACGCTGTTCTAGTGGCTTGTGGTGTCCCAGCCACTCTAAGTCGGTTATACATTAAATTTGTTACCTGTCTGCTCGTTGCAAAAAAAGAGTAACTTAACACAGAAGCAAAGTTATTTTTTCCTCTTTGGTCAAACGTTTTAAGCCAGCAACAACTCCCAACAGTGATGTCACACGGTCCTGGAGTGCACCTCTTCATTATTGCAGGAAGGTGCATTCATTAAACCACTTGAGGTCACAAACAGGTGGTGTCAGGGGGTGTTAAGTTTTCCACTGGCATAGGAAACTTGTAGGAGGAAACACAAGCAGTCAGTGCGGCCTGATCGAAGTCCTCGCATTCTCCACATGTTATATCTGCAGCAGCTCTTTGCCACGATGAAGGTGCAGGATTCTGTTTGACATTACAGCTAATATGGAGAGGATAATTCAATACAGCAGCCAATAATGTACAGGCATGTGAATTTGTGAGTGTTACTCTGTAAACTGACATGGACTTAATATGTATCTAAGATAAGGACAAAGTGTTCTTAAGGCACTCTGCAAAGACACGTGAAAAATGCACACACACAAAAATATTGAAAAGACAAACAGCCAAAAGAGTAAGATGGAGTTGTGGAAAACAGAAGACAGAACAAAAAGGTCGGCACAGAGAGAAATAAAGAGAACCAGACAGACAATTACGGGAGGTCGAGAAAATACCGGAGAGCAATGGGGGAGAGAAAAGAGAGACAGTGGTAAAGAGGAGCGAGTGTGTAAATAGAGTTTAAATGTGCAGTAGGAATGAAATTCGCCTTGGGATTGCCTAGGTAAACAAGGCAGCTGAGGCTTTGGTGGAGATGCTAATAAAACAGAGCTGTTCTTATCAGCTGAGCAGATGGCCTAACCCATCACATCTACTCAAACAGGGCCTAAGCCATCAGCATTCTAATGAAATTATTTATGATCAAAGATTACGTTCAAAACCTTGAACACACAATGCCACGTTTACCTTCCCGAAAAGATGAGAGTGGGCGGGGATGAAGGGAGTTTATGATGAGAGACAGCCAGAAAGGGCAGAAAGAGTGAGTTAGAGGATATACGAGATGGAGTGAACAGTGTGCTGATGGAAACAAATGATGAGAAAGAAAAACACATAAGGAGAGAGAGAAAGGAAAGGTGGGATGGAGAGCAGGACAAAAACACTTGTGTATGCTTTGTCGGCGAGCGGGGGCGGACCCGGGGGAGAGAGGAAGGACAGACAAACAAATGATGTTCTGAGTCAAAAAGTGTAACTGGTGGTTTGTTTAGAGGGCATGTCACCCCTGTGGACCGCCCCTGCCCTGCCGTCTCCTGTAACCCCCCCCCACAGTCTGACCCCTCTGCCCCTGGCTTACACCCTGGGCTGCTCCCCAGACAGGGGGGTTGCTTAGCCGACTTAGCCCAGGTCAGGCACCTTGACCAAGGGCAGAGCCCGCCGCCCCACTCCCCTGGCGCCTGCAAGTATCATTTTTCTTCTCACCGGGTCTCCGGACCAGAAGCACGGGGATAAACCTGGGAACAACACATAGCAGAAGAAGTAGGGGAGGGGGTGTTTATGTGGATGGATGGATGGAGGGAGGATTGGAAGGGGGGAGACAAAGGCAGAGAAAAAGAAAGATGAAGAATCGGAGGGAGGAGAGATGGAAAAGGATGGAGAAGTGAAGGTATAGGGGCCGGGAGGAGAAAGGAAAGGGATAAATGGGGTAAAGAGAAGGGAGGAAGGATGGTGGATTGAGGGAGGAGAGAATTGATCTGGGAATGGTTAGTATGCAGCCCCCGCCACCCCTCCCCCTCCCCCTCCTCCTCCCCCTACCTCCCTCTCTCCTCTCCCATCAGTCAGTGAGGGCTGAGGGCTGAGAGTGTGTTGTGGACCACTGCCCGGATGCCTCATACATATTAAAGCCCCCTGCTATTATTTATATCATGTCTCTCCTTCCCCCTGCTCACTGCCCCCCCACCCCACCCCACCCCAAACCCCACCACACCGACATACATACATGTACGTCTGCGCACACACACACTCACATGCACAGGTTGCACTGACAGACAACTACTCACACAAACAATGACACACAATGACACACGGAGACACAAAAACAGACAGTCTAGTCACATACACAGAAACAGAGGTGCACCGCGCACGCACGCACGCACGCACACACACACACACACACTGAGAGATTTGAATGATCTTGGTCTCTCCTCACGTCTCCCTTCGCGCCACATTCTATACCTGTTTTTATGTCTGAGCCTGACTCATCCTCTCAATCGCTCCTTCTCTTTCTCATCTTCTCATTTCTGTCTGATCTTTTTTCAATCCCTCCCTCCTGCCAGTGATGGAGTGATATTATTCGGATAGGTCTTAAGCCCAGTAAAGCCCATAAGGACCTGTTTGTCTCTCTACCTTGTTTTCCAATACCACATGGGCCAGGGGATTGTGTCTCTTTCACATGGCCGGTCCAGTGTTCTGAGCAGAGGTAAATTTAGTCCTTGTTTAAAAAGAGGACAAGAATTCCCCCGGCTGAGAGATTGCTATTTATGAAATACAGACACCTTAAACATAGATGGATACTGACAGAGATGTCTCAGTGTAATCATCAGTAAAAGATTTTAGAAACCAAACCCAGTCCATTTACTTGTCCAATATCCAGCCTCTTAATGCCGACATGAAAACTCGTCATTTTAAAACATTAATGAACGAGTCCGATTTGACGTCAGAATGAAAATGAATGCGGGAAAGATCCAGCACATTACATTTAAAGAGAAGAGGGATCAGAAATTAACACCTCCCTGTAAAGTCTTTTTTACTTTCTTTCTTTTTCCAACTAGGTCTAATTCTAATTTCAGGTCTAATTTTGTCCTTTTTCTTGAAACCATCTATTTCAGTTGATGATGACATCTTTGGTTAATCACTGTAATAACTGTTCATACAACTTCATGTGGATATAATCACTTTTTTATAAGAAATAATAATCTGATCATGTGAGGACAACATGGAGCGTGTCGCCCATAGTGATGAGAATATTTTTAATTTATATAACCTTTATTCAACCTGGAAGGTCTCGTTGAGATTACAAATCTCTTTTTCAAGGGAGTTGTGGCTGAGACAGGCAGCAGCGTAGATAAAAAGAAATCACTTGAATCCACAGCTCCCCTTTATAGCAAGTTTCAGAGCACTGTTTAACTGTCCAGCCGGAAACGTTCCTGTTCCTCTTCCCTCTCACAGCTCACATATTGTCACCCAACACCTCAGAGTTATGTATTCAGTGAAAAACCTCTTCTTGCTCGGCTCCATACTCCAGACAGACACATTTAGTCGAGCATTTCACTATTAAAACCCCTGATATTTACCTCTGGAATAAGTAGAGACCAAAAACTGAGCTAAAAGAGAGTAACTGTTTCTTAGGTCACCAGGTGACCAAAAAAATGATGGTAAAGTTTGCCGACAGTTTTTTTATCAACTTAAAATGTGATGATTTAACATGGAAAAGATTTCAAAATTGCAAAAAAAAATTATTAGTTTGCATTTTTAGCAGAATTTTTTTATTTTACCGTCTTTAAACTGTGATTTGCATTCTAACAAATATGTCATGTGCTCTTTATGTTCAGTAGTGGAAATGATTCAGTCTGTCAAACACAGAACAAGTACATAGGTTAAAAAAATGGCAATTCTCATCTGTTTCTAAAGTCTGGTGGTAACACATTTTGTCAGTGGGAAAATTAAACCATATGGTGCCTATCAGTATTTTATAACGTCTTTATTACAGGTGGCAGCATTTTAAAAATACAGGGCATCCCCGAGAGATTAAGCCCAGTGTGTCTGGGACTAAGAATCCTCTCTTTTTCTCCCTCGCCCGGTGGGGTTTCCTCCATCTTTACCCTCCACTCTGTTCACTCATGGTGCACGGCTCTCATTCCTCCGCTCCCACCTTCCCCGTTCCCCTTCTTCATCTCCCCCGGCTGTGATGTCCTTGAGGGCCTGCTGAAGCTCCCATAAAGCCTGCAGTAAATGGCTCTAATCCGGTAATAAATGGCTGTGTCCTACAGACAAGGGTGTGAGGCTGCTGCAGCCACGGCTTTATCAGATGGAATGGTATTGGCACACGCATGCACAGACGCACACACTCGCTCGCAGATGTAATAGAAACTGCATACGTGTGTGTAAGCATGCATGTTCTCTCTCTCTCCCCCCCTCTCTCTTTCTTTCCCTCACACACACACACACTCATTCATACAGCTTCAGATGGAATCACACCTGCTCCGATTGTGCTGCTTTTATGGATGCCATGCAAGAGCAGCGCCATTATAACCTTTAAATTATTAGAGAAGCGACTATGATGCATTATGATGATAGGATCATATAGAGCTGTTGCGCTGCTGGGATAGACTGCAACTGAATGAAGGAGCAGGGTGGGACACGGGGAATAAGGGGAAGAATAGTAATGTGACCTTTGGAGATACTTGGAGTTCACCTGTTTTTAATCAGCAAATACAATTGATTTTTATCTCCCCAGGTTTTATTTGTGTAATACTGTAGTCACTCGCCCCTCTGAGACTGGACTTAAATGTATTTTGCGCGTGTGCGTATGTGTGTGTGGGAATGTCTTACAACCTCCTCACTCCTTGTTGAGTTGTAACCCAGAGCAGCGCTTTCATTTTCCTGTCATAACATCTATTGATTTTTTTCCCTCCTCTGTGTGTGTGTGCACTCGCTCATGTGTAGGTATTTGTGCTCTAAGCTTCTGTTTTTGATTAGTGCTCGTTTCTCTCTTCAGGTGGAGCTGACCGGCAGCAGCGTGTTCGACTACATCCACCCTGCGGACCACGTCGAGATGGCGGAGCGACTGGGAATCAGGCCGCATCTGAGGGCCGAGGCCGGCTGCCACACGGCTCCCGAGAGCGCCTCTAGCTCCGCGTCCGCCTCCTCGCTGGCTGGTACCCCCGAGCCCGGTACTGATTACACTCAAATCTAGAGAGAGAAAACTGAAGGAAAAAGAATAATATTTACATTTCATTCACTGTTCACTCAGTTTGCATTAATGAAAAAACAACACAAAACAAAATAGAAATAAAGTGAATTTCAATTTTTTCTCCTCTCCAATCTTCAACAGCTCCGTCGAGTCCTCACTCTCCTGCCGACGAACCTCCCGACCGTGGCTTCTTCATCCGCATGAAGTCCACGCTCACCAAAAGAGGCCTGCATGTCAAGTCTTCTGGATACAAGGTACTGAATTCATCATCATGTGAAAACGCACCTTGTATTGTGCATATTGCAGCATTTACCCTCTTGTTTTCCAGCCGGTAAAATAACAAGGCTTGTCATTATGTTTAGTGCTGCCAGGATTGTCAAGGTGGTCGTTTTCAGTGTGTTTTATGGCTGTGACCTTATTTCACACTGGACCGCTGCACATAACAGACAGTTTACTGCACTTGCTGCTGTAACACCAGAGCTGCTGCATTCTTTAGCTCAGAATATGACATTGCATTTATGTTTATGTGAAATGTATATTGCTGAGTGTTATATTTTCTTCATCCTGTGTTGTGTAACTGTCTCACAACGCATGAACTAATTCAAATTCCACCATATTCTGATGTTATCCTGCATAAATTACCTTGTGTCTAAGGAGTACGTACTGTTGTCTGCTGTTCGTCAGGTGATCCACGTGACAGGACGAATCCGCTGCCGCCCCGCGCTCGTGCCGGGCTCCACGCGCTCAGTGCGTCGTCCGATGGGTCTGGTGGCCCTGGCGCATACGCTCCCGCCCTCCACGCTTAACGAAGTCCGCATGGAGAGCCAAATGTTTGTCTTCCGAGTCAACATGGACCTACAGGTCACGTATTGTGAGAACAGGTGAGGGTTTTGTCTATGAATAATATCAGAGGAATGTCACTTGGTGATTTTAGATGAATTGTCTGTTTCTGGTCAGTCGACAAATCTGTGTTTCTTTGCTGTGGCTTGTCCTCACAGGATCTCTGAGTACATGGATCTGACCCCAGCAGAGGTGGTGGGACATACCTGTTATCACTTCATCCACGTAGAAGACCTGGAAAACCTCAGGCAGAGCCATGAAGACTGTGAGTTACATCCACATATATATATATATATACAATTATGAAACTGATCCCCACCTCCCTCATTTTAAACATGATCTGAAACTGGGGGCTCTGAAAGCCTATTGAAATGTCATTCATTCCTGTTGGGATAGGCGCCCTCTGCTGCCTCCACTATGAACTGCCAAATAACGGGCTTCTTTTCTCTCCTCCTCTCCACCTTCCGCCGCTCTCCTCCCAGTGCTGAGGAAAGGCCAGGTGGTGACGGGTTACTACCGCTGGCTCCAGAGGAGAGGGGGCTACCTGTGGATCCAGTCCAATGCCACCGTCTCCATCAACCACAAAGCCCCCCACGAACGCAACGTCATCTGGGTCAACTATGTCCTGAGGTCAGTGCGACCGCAGCAGAGCCACAGTCTGTTCTCCAGACCGTCGACATGTTCCTAGTTTATATGAGCCGGCACCACACTGAGAACAGAGACGCTTTGAAGGGCTGCATGATGAAATGCAGACGGATTACTGGAAGTTTCACGCCCTCCGACATGTGAGAAAACTGATGAGGATACTTAATACAAAATAGTGACATCAAAGCAGCACATTACCAGGCCCTATTAAAGTTAATACTTATGTAAAATTTTTATATAAATACTGACCACAGCTAAAATTTGATTTAAAAAGGGTTCATCATCTTCAAGGTTTATGTTTTATAGATTCTAAATTAATTTGAGTGAATTTTTACATTTTTCTTTAATATATTTTTTGCCCTAAACGCAGATACGGTGAATCTTACTTAATGTTATTGCTGACAATTTTTTCCAATTATTCCAATTTTTATCATGGCCAATACATGGCCAATTCCTAGAATTTAAAATTACAAATTCCTGATATTAATACACTTTTACAGTGTATACTTTTGTCAGAATTTGGGCTTCTTTAACTTTCTTAAATGTGCTTAAAAGTACAGTGTGTAGAATTTTGTGATATCTAGTGTTGAAGTTGCATGTTGCAGCTGAACACCCCTCACCTCACCCTCCCCTTCCAAACATGAAAAATAACCTGTGGTAAACTTCAGTTGTCATAAAACTCAAAAGGTGTTTAGTTTGTTCAGTCTGGACTAATGTAAAAATCATGGCGGCCTCCGTAGAGAGGACCCCCTTAATGTAAATATAAAGTATTTAAATATAAAGGGGAGTTTCTGGGGTACAGAAAACTACAATTCATGCAATTTTGATGAAATGAACTAGTGAAAACATTTAGATTATTTTATATTCAATTTGTGCCAATAGTTCCCTTTCACCTAAATCATACACACTGGACCTTTAAGTGTGAATTATCCTTAACGTCTACATGTAGTGTTACTGTTGTCTTCACCAACTTTATTAATTTTCTACACACACAACTGCAGGTAACCTAAGAAAAAAAGCACTTTTCCCTCATTTCCCTCTTGTACACATACACACACACACACACACACACACAGACACACACACACACACACACTATTCACTGGGACCCTGATGCAAATATACTCACACGCAAACAAACGCGGAGCATAACCAAATGTGCACAGCGACAGAGCGTTCAGACAAAAGCAAGAGGAGGAGGCTGAATTTCAATGCTAATTGGACTGAAGCTATATAATTACAACAAATGGATGTCAGAATTTTGAGGCTGAATGGTGTTTTAGTTAATTAGTGCTGTAATTACAAGAGCTCATTAACTTCTCCAACAGCCTCCTCCTTGTCTAGGCTTAACTGTGTATAGGTGGGCTGCTGAGTGGGGCACAGAGTGTGTGTTTTCTATGTGTCTTGAAGGGTGGGGTCTGCCTGTGTGTCTGTTTGCATGTGTCGGTGCTTGTGTACTGTACGTGTCTAGAGAACTGGGTGCGTGTTGGATTGAGGTTAGAAGGGTGTGTGGCGGTTCGGCTATCGGAGGTCGTTATTAGGCTGATTATATGTTGTTTGCATCTCTAAGTATTCACTGAAATCAGCTCGGCAGTAGTGGGTTTTTTTAAGTCAGTAAGTGGCTGATGAGCATTTGTCCACCGTCCCTGCCTCTCTTTCCATTTTCACATCCCTCCATCGATTCCTCTCCATGCAGTCCGACAGAGTTGCCCGACACTCCTCTGGATCTGCTACAGTTACCGGAGGGCGTACGAGCGGAGAGACTTCGAGTTAGCTCCTCTCCCGCCGACAGCTCCCCTCAGGCCCGAGGTAAGATGCTACACACACACACACACACACACACACACACACACACA